TGATGTGTTCATGCGTGCTCATCTGCTCACAGACTCATGTTCATGTTGCTGTTTGACGTAATTTTTTATGCTTAGCATATTTTTAGTTAACATTTTTCTTAGTTCATATCTTAGATCCTATTACTGTTTTTCTTTCACATTTTATTGTTGGACGTAACTGGGACCCTGTGTACACAATTTCGTTCCACCACATGTACTAAAACATGTGGTGCGAATGACAAATAAAGAAACTCTGACTCTGACTCTGATATTTCTCCAGCTTTTTCTGTATTGATTGATGTTTACTTGAAAACAAAACCATGTCACTCTGTCTTTCTTGAGATATATGTTTTAAACAATTTATAAAAATTAAACAAATAAATGAAAATAAATAAATAAATATACCTGTTTCTCCAAAAGTAAAATAAAAATATTGCTTTGTCCTAAGATCATCTTTTATATTTGTTTTTCTGCAGCTTCTGTGTTTTATTCAACATTCTCATAGCCTTTCCCAACTTCAGCTGCTATCTGTCAGGTAGCTAACTGGTTGATCCCCCTTTCTTTTAACAAAGTCTATTGTTTTTTTGAGCCTTCATCTTGAAAAAAAAAAGCCATAGATATTAGGGTTTGAACGACTACATAATTTTAAAACTCGATATTAACATAATAAAACTTGAGTAGAATTCGAGTACTTGATGACATCATAGAATCTAAAGATACAAAAATAAATAAGCAAATAAAACTGCAAGAAAGGTCATTAATTACAAATAAAGACCAACAAAACATTGGAAGCGTATATTATGCTCCTACCATTTATCATACTGCAAATAAGTCACAGAAAAAACAAAACTATTATTATTATTAAGCTGCAAAAGTGTAAGAAACATGCAGCACGTCAAAAACGAAACTAAAAACAGTGGGGGGGTCGACCACCCCGCACCACCCACCACCAGCTGTGGTGCGCATTAGGTTTAGTTTTAGAGATTAATATGTTTATAGGTTTTTTTAATAGGTTTAGAAATTAATACTTTTTGCTTCCTGTTTGTGAAACAAGGTCAGAGGAAGCTGGTTCTGGTTCAGTCGATTGGACCCGGTGTTACACCAAATTCTGTGACCTGCAACAGTGCATGTAACACTGCCCCCTACGGTCACAATATACGGTGGTCACAGAATATGGTGTAACACCAGTTTGCAACAAGCTCCAGTCAGGAAATTGATTCATTTTCTGTTTCCTTACGGTAGTTGAACCAGAAGATTCATCTTTAGTGAAATATTTCCAGACTATTGATGCATTTCTACCTGTTTGTCTGCTCCATCCGTCTGCTTGGAGGAATCCATTTTGTAACCCGCGCCCGGTGCGGATCACGTGACACGTGATGCAATGATGTAACGGTGACATAATGACGTCACCACGAATACTCAATGTGAAATTAAAAAACTCAATAGATGTCCTAGGAATCAATGTGTAGATTACTCGAGTAGTCTGTTAAAGCCCTAATAGATATTCATTTTTGCGTTGGCATATTATCCACTGGTTTCTATCTTTAGTGTTGTTAAGGTACCAGAGTACCTGGTAGCTTTAGCTCCACCTGTTAAAATTAGCCATGATATAATTTAGGAAGGCCAAAGAAGACATTCACCACAACTCCAAGATTAACTGGATGATCAAACTGTCCATCCAGACATATGCTTTAATTTATCTTAATGGGTCTGGGGATAATTGGATAATTTTCCTTTTTCTTTTTGCAACAATACCACGCCACAATGAGATATATACACACATACATACATACATACACGCACGCACGCACGCACGCACGCACACACACACACACACACACACACACACATATATATATATATATATATATGTATATATATGTATATATATATATATATATACACTGTAGTGATGTTGTAACTGTATGTACAAATGTACTGTATTATTAAAAAAAGCTTGATTTATAGTTTTTCTTTCTGTTCTGTTTCAGGAGAAAAGAATGAGTACCACTTCTGACCTTCCTCTATCCTTTCTATAGATAGCAGTACAATCCTATTACAATTATCCCAAAGTGTCCTTGCAAGGGCTGAAGAGAGAAGACAGATATCACTTAGCTAAGACACTGGAGAGTCTCTTTATAGTATTTATATACCTGGATTGGGGATGGGTTTTGGGTGACATACTAAAAGTAATGCATGAGTTGAAATGTCATTGCATAGTAATTCCACTGCAAGATTTTAATATCTTTCAACTTATTTCTGCATACCTGCAGTACAAGGTACAAAGTAATGTTAATCCATTACTGTCTTTTTTGCCTTACAGATCCTGGCCATGATCTCCATCCTTTTCATCATCATTTCTACAATCTCATTATCGCTCAACACTCTGCCGGAACTTCAGGTTGCGGATGAATTTGGTCAGTTCAATGACAACCCCACTTTAGCCCATGTGGAAGCTGTTTGCATTGCCTGGTTTACCATGGAGTACCTGCTTCGCCTGCTGTCAGCACCCAACAAGTGGAATTTTATCAAAGCACCACTGAACATCATTGATCTGCTGGCTATACTGCCTTACTATGTGACTCTTTGCCTGACTGAATCTAATAAGAGTGTGATGCAGTTCCAGAATGTGCGCCGTGTGGTCCAGATTTTTCGTATTATGAGGATTCTGAGAATTTTGAAACTGGCCAGGCACTCAACTGGACTACAATCTTTAGGCTTCACTTTGCGAAGGAGCTATAACGAGCTAGGCCTCCTCATCCTCTTTTTAGCTATGGGCATTATGATCTTCTCTAGCTTGGTGTTTTTTGCAGAGAAAGATGAGGATGCTACCAAATTCACTAGCATTCCCGCCTCCTTCTGGTGGGCTACCATTACAATGACAACTGTTGGTTATGGGGACATTTACCCACAAACCCTTTTAGGCAAAATTGTTGGAGGGCTCTGCTGTATAGCAGGTGTGCTAGTTATTGCTCTTCCCATTCCTATCATTGTCAACAACTTCTCAGAGTTTTACAGAGAACAGAAAAGGCAAGAGAAGGCTATCAAGAGAAGGGAAGCTCTTGAACGAGCCAAACGTAGTGGAAGCATTGTTTCTATAAATGTAAAAGATGCATTTACACGGAGCATGGAACTCACAGATGTGTTGGTGGAAAAAAGAGAAGAGAACAAATGTCCTGTTGACAATCACCTTTCTCCCAGTCGTTGGAGTTACCACAAACACTACTCAAACACTGAGGTTGGTAGCCCAGTTAGGTCCCAAGAGTATCAAGAGATCACTCAGCAAGGCTCCCCTGAACGGGGCAAATCATCATCAAACAAGTCTTCCCCTCAACATCGCAATGCAAAGCTTCAAGAAAATCCTTACAAGACCACTGGTATCCAGGAAAAACAGAACAAACCTACAGGAGAACAGAGAAAGATGAATGCCTTGGCCTCTATTCAAGCACAGCAAACTTCCCCTAAAGTCAGCAATCCTGGAAAAGTTTCCACTGTGGTCGATAACCCTTTATTAGAAAGAGCAGAGAGAAGCTCCCTACTACCCACTGCTGAAGGAGGTCACACTAGTTTTAGGCAGCGTGTCCCACCACCCCTGGATCTAAGTCAGATCAGTACCATGGATCAGGGGCCTGACAGTGTCCTACCAATGACCATCATCAAAGAGGGTTTGTATGAGTTTGTGTCCAATCCCCAAAAATGTTCATCCGAAGAGAAAAATTTGTTAAAACATAGAAAGGAAAACATTGGTGTGGTCTGTGACAGCGCATGTAGCTCTGTGCAAGATTTTAGTAGCCCTCAAACAATGCAAGCCCTCAAAGTTGACTTCATCGGAGCTCAGGATGACATTCTTATGGCTGTGATGACTCCTGTCGCAACCCCAGCTTCCACTGGCTCCCCCAAGTGGAATCAGATACTTTCTGAGGACATGACTTCCAAGTTTTCTAAATCTCGTAGTTCTTTAACACATGAGGCTAATACTCTGCAATCAACCTCCCTGCCTCCATCCCCGAAGCAACAGTCTGCCAGTTCAAGCAACTCTCAAGGGGGAGGAGAGAGTTCAGCAGTCAGAAGCTTAGAAGGTGAAGTGCAGCTCACGGGCTTAAGCCAGCATGGAATGAATCACATGGAGAGGTCTGCTGTTGGCTCAAGCAGTGGTTCCAGTCGACTGTCATTGAAAATGAGCCCACTCAACTGCACACAGGAGATGGTACCTGTAGGGGTAGACGGCGATGGAAGACCAGGACATAGAGGGGAAAAACAAGAAAATCACATTGTTCTAGATGGAAGCTTAACCCCACAGAGTGAGACAAGTATGTGAACTAAAGAGTTAGGAAAATAAACTCAGGGTGAAGTGTATTGCTTGACAGCAACATCCATAAGCCACACTAACCTGGTGTGAGCTTTGTACCTGTTGAAAAAGGTACACTGAAGCACAATAATGAAACCTATAAATGTTTATTAAACAAGACCTGTGACTTTTCTCTTGTTTGATGAACTTTGCGGTCAAGAAACAAACATTACGGAAATGTTAACAAATGACCTGAATCAATTCTTATGCACATGTGTACTTGTCTTGGTACTCTGTGACATTTTGGGCTCTCCTCACTACTGTGAGGGGAGCATGGTCTTGCCCAGGGACACTTTGGTATACTGCAGGGCATGGGACCGAACCTCTGATCTTCCAAATGGAAGATGCTGACTGCAACTGGTCTAAAGCTGCCCATCATTAAACAGTTTTTGTGCAGGACTCAGTGGTACCAGATACCCGTTGCTTGCTACCAAGCAATGTTGTCATAATACACTAAAAGCGTTATGAGGTAGAAGAAAAAAAACATCTTTACATTTTTCAAATCAACTTAAAAACACATGTAAAACAGTTATATGTTTATAATTCTTGCTAAAGATTTCACTGTTACTGAGCATATAGCGAGGTGTAGTCTGAGGATTTGTGCATCGGAACACACACTTGTTTTGGTGTTTAAACAATGTATGTTCTGTTTCATGAATTTTCAAACATTTTTGTTGTCTGTTTTTTCCTGAGCTTTGTCAAACCTGCTCTCACAGCAGGGCTATAAACGTACAAAAAGTAAAAAAGTAGAGAGTGATTTGTCGTGTGTTCACCACTGTTGGCACACATTTCAAAAGGAAGGTTTCCTGAAAACTTATTCATTCTAGATACCAGTACATATTTAATGCGGCAGGTGAAAAGATTCATAAAGACAGTGTTTTATGTGTCATCATGTTAAGTGTATCGTATTGGCTTTATTCTTAAAAGAAGCTCCTGGTGAGCTTAAGAAGTGGTTGTTTATTAATGGCCATATGTTCAACCGTTTTAACCGAATCGTTAAATTCAGGAGTTTGAACTGAACGTATGTCAGACCTTTGTTTGGTCTCTGTGAGACCGTCTTATCAAAGGATCATTTCACTTTATTTCAAAATGGCTCTTGTTCTGTAGTTTTTACTACATTTTTGTCAGTAATAAAATCAGTCGCATACATGGAAATGGAGTTTGGTAACATGATGTCAGTATTTAAATTAATTTTATACTTCCTCTAAGTTATGGGTCTGGAGTCCGCAGATAAAGTGGCTCCTTGAAGCCAGTTTAGACCAAAAACATCATAAACCTGAATAATGTTTACATGTAAACTGATGAAACAAACGAGGATTTTTAGTAGTTTTCCTACCCACTTGTTTGCAGTTTTTTCAAGAAGTCATTCAGGTGAGTTGGGTTGACTATGAGCTTGTATTGTATTTTATATTTTTACAAAAATGACTACATATCAGTTAATCTAAATATACCATGTCCACAACTTCCCATCCCTTCAGTATCCAAATGAACTGATTATGGCTTGAGTTTTCGCTATAACATGTTTTAAATGATCTATTTTAAAATGTTAGTCTCATTCCTGCTTTGTTAACAACTTTCTGACAAAGCAATTTCACTTCAAATCCACCAGAAAAATAACACTTTTTTATTTTACAAAAACTTGAGTCATATTTCTGTAAAAGCAAAAGATTGTTTAGCACATCTATTGAAATTGCAAAGTTTGAAGATATCAGAAATATATTAGACACACACAAACTAGTTGTAATCAAGCAGTAAACTGGTACAAATCTTTATGTTTGTCTTTATTCAGACATTATATTTTAACTAAAACTGTTTTCCCAAAGTGGGAAGCTTAATAATAATAAAAACTATTTTTTTTCTCCTAAAAATGTAAGGAAATAACTAAACTTTGTGGCTTTTTTACTAATGCTTATTGAACAGGAATAAATAATGAGAAAAACTCTTTCAGTTGGGCAGAATTGTGGCGCAGTTGGTAGAGCTGCCACCTCTCAGTGAGCAGGTTGCCCTGGTTCAAATCCTGGCCGGGGGCCTTTAAGCTGGAGTTTGCATGTTCTCTCTGTGCTGGTGAAGATTCCCAGTCATCCAGGACATGATGAATTCAAAAAGCGTTCAATACAAAAACAACTGGGCTTTATTTGTAACAGAAGACATTTCGCTCCTCATCCGAGGAGCTTTCTCAATTCAAAGAGCAGAGAGTGAGAGATACAGAGTCAGAGAGTCAGAAAGTCAGAGTTTCTTTATTGTCATTCACACCTCATGTGGTACATGTGGTGGAGCGAAATTATGTACACAGGGTAATACAGGTTATAAGGCTGAGTGAGATAAGACACACACACACATAAGACACACACACACACATATGTAGATTGGCAGTTCACACCTAAACACCTAAACAGTAGGTCTTTGTTCCTCTAATTCACTGACAAGGCCCCTCTGTTCCCATCAGGTGTGAAAACCGGCTGGGAATCTGTT